CCCACAAACACCTATAGTTGCTAAAATCCTTGGACTTTACGCGCCCGAATGTGTTCAGTGTAAGCGCTCTCACTCCATTTATTGCATGTTCTCAATTCAGCTTATTAACGAGGATTGCACCCAGGCAAACGGCGAGGAGTGGTAGGTAGCACCCCTGGTACGCGCTTTCACGAGCTAAATATTCCCAGGAAACGCCATCGCAGAATGTTCGCTGCGAACCTGGATGAACGTATCAGCAAAACTGTCTGGACAGAAAGTTGTCGCCACGCTAGTGAAATGATAAAGTACATGCTGAAGAACCCAGGAAACAAGACCTTGGACGGTCTCAGGAGCATCGCAATCAATGTTATTGGTCAAGCAGGATTCAGTCAGTCCGGGGTGTGGGCACCAACTATGCGAAATCGCACTGGCAAGGTTACGACTGGAAAAGCAGCCTTTTGGGAGACCTTTTCCCTGACCACTGAGATGCTTCTTGAAGGGGCATTCCTTCCAACAAAGGTGATGCGGTTGCCGTTTATGCCACCAACTCTGCGATTGATGGGATATCATATGGAGAGAGCACCGATCTATATCAAAGAGGTTCTTGATGAGGAGCGGAAGGCTGTAGAAAATTCAACTGGTCGTCGAAACAATTTCCTGAGTTTTCTCCTGAAGCTGTCCGACGAGGAGAAAAATAGTGGGGACAATGGATTTTCATTAACAGACGATGAGATCAGTGGAAACCTCTTTGTCTTCAGCACAGCCGGGTTCGAAACAACTAGCAATACCATGGGCTACGCAGTGGCTCATCTGGCCGTGTATCCCGAATTGCAGGATTGGATCCGCGAAGAGCTGCGGACGCTTGACCCGGACCCGTCGAAATGGAAATATGAGGAGGTGTTTCCTAAATGCCGACGCACACTCGCTCTAATGGTACCTCTTTGACATCTTCCCCATCCCCGTGGCACTAAGTATACTAACATATCCCCAGTTTGAAATCCTGCGTTTCTTCCCACCAGTCCTTCATTCTAACCGCTCAGTCTTTAAGCCACAGCAAATAGTGGACGGCAACAGAACTCGACTGTTAACACCCCCTATGGACATACTGATCTGCCAATTGAGTATGCACCTGGATCCGACGATTTGGGGTGCAGACGCAAGCGAATTCAGGCCATCGCGATGGATCGACGAGTCAGGACAACTGATAACCCCGCCAAAAGGGGCCTATATCCCGTGGTCAAGCGGCCCACGCATCTGCCCCGGCATAAAGATGCCGCTTGTGGAATTTG